GGCGAAGACTCCGGCCAAGCCCCCGCTCACGGCGGCGACGGCGAAGACCCCGGCCAGGTCCGTCTCCCGCGCGCGGTTCGCGCACGCCTCCGAGAACTCCGACCCCAACATCCTCGCCTCCCCTCCCCGGACCACGTCCAAGACCCCCGCCAAGCCCGCCGCCGCCCCCGCCGTCTCCGCCTCCGTCAGGAGGAAGCGCGGCACGCCCGCCCCACCGCCGCCGGTCCCGCAGCGCCGGTTCCTCGTGGCGAAGAAGGGCGCGCATCGGCGGAGGCAAGCCGGCGCGAGCGGGGGAGGCGGCGAGTTCGACTTCGACAAGTGCCGCGAGGCCGCACGCGAGGCGCTGCGCGCGTCGCACGAGGAGTTCTTCCTCAAGGAGCGCGCGGTGTCCGCGGCCAGCGAGGAGCAGGAGTCCCAGAAGGAGGGAGCGGCCGACGAGGAAGCAAGCAGTGCCGCCGTTATCGAGGATGGGGAGGAGGGGTCTGTGGCGGATTTGGAGGGGAGCGGCAAAGTCAGAGCGATTCGGAGCAGAGTCATGGCCAAGGCGATGAACAGCGTGCCAGATACTGGGGCCGGCCGTGTCAAGCACCTGGTGCATGCTTTCGAGAGCCTGCTCTCCATCTCCGGCGCCACCGCTGATGCCGAACGGGCCGGCGAGGAGGCCTGGGTGCTGCCTGGATTGCAGCCGTGGAACGAGGGGAGTGAGGGCTCGCCGGTGGCAGTGTTCTCCTCGTCCGATTTCATGAACATGGGGCCGACCAGGCTTTGCAGTTCACTTGATGGCAAGAGCAACAGGTTGGTTGATACCAGCAAACAAACGAGATAAGTAATTGCATCTAGGTTGTTGCTGATCAAAGTTTGTTCCTCTTCTCAGATCTAGCTGGGACAGCCAGACCGGAGGACGCAGGAGCCGGCGTAACGTGAGGATGCGATAACCTTTTTTTTCTGCTCTACTGTTAGCCATGCTTGTTCTGTACTCTCTAAATTCAATGTCTATTTGCTCTTTGATCTGACAGTCATCTGAATCACTAAGGAGCAGCTGGAATAAAAAGCTCAAGGTCACTAGCCAGCATCCCTTCAAGCTGAGAACAGAGGTGAATAACAAAATCTTTGGCTATAGTTCTGTTTGTTAGTGGGCAAGTCAGTAGTAGTAGATTGAGCATTAAGCATTCAGCAGTCAAAATAATCTACTGTATTGCTATATTGCCTGATGCGCGAATTGTTTTTCTCTAACAGCAAAGGGGAAAAGCCAAAGAACAACAGTTTATTCAGAAAGTCCAGGAAATGTTAATTGAGGATGAGAAGAAGCGCATACATATTGCTCAAGGACTTCCGTGGACAACAGATGAGCCTGAGGTTTGTCATTCTGTATAGCCTAACTTTCTATAACACAGCCTTGCACTTGCATTTTGTCTGGTATAACATACTAGTTCTTGGACTTGAATAGCAAAAATGACATAATGTCAAAACTGATATATGACACATTTGGAGAATGCTGATTTCCTTTGGAATATAACAATGAATGAAGGAATCAACAAGTGTTTCCACGACTCTACCGCCCGGCCAATCCTGTTCCACTGAATGCCCTCCCTTTTTTCATTAGCGACATATATTCGTTTGGTTCAGTATACCTTAGAAGGAAGATAAATGTGTGCTACTTCCAGATTGAAGCTTGTTGTTTGAGCATGCTGTGACTGTTCTTATGACAACATACTAATTCCTGGAGTTGAATAGCAAAATTGACATGATGTTAAAATCAATACTCCTGTGGTATAACATATTTGAAGAATGCTTATTTTCTTTGGAATATTATTGATTAGGAAGATAAATGAGAACATACTAGTTCTTGGAGATGAATAGCAAAAATGACTTAATGTCAAATTACATATAACATATTTGAAGAATCCTGATTTTCTTTGGAATATAATTGATGAGGAAGATAAATGTGTGTTACTTCCAGATCGAAGCTTGTTGTTTGTGAATGCTGTGACTGTGTTCTTATGGCATCTTACTAGTTCTTGGAGTTGAATATAAAAAATGACATAATGTCAAAATTATATAAAATATTTGAAGAATGCTGATTTTCTTTGGTGCATGCTGAAAACTATCAGGTTGTTCTCCTGATTGTTATTGAATTTATTTGCATAACTTTTGTACCTGGTTCTCTTAGGAATCACTATGATGGTTGATAAGTTTTCAGTTAACAAGTGATATTGTTTTAACTTTGAACCTCTATTTTCACTAGTGCTTGATCAAGCCACCAGTCAAGGAAAGGACTGAGCCAGTCGACCTTGTTCTCCATAGTGATGTGCGCGCAGTTGAACGTGCTGAATTTGATCAATATGTAAGCCTCCTTACATGTTCATTGTACATTGCACATGGTTTGAAGCCTTATTTCAGTGGTACTAGCGCGAGTCTTTTACACTCTATTAGGTATTAACTACGGCTGTTTGAGATTTAGGTATCAGAGAGGATCAAGTTTGGTGAGGAATTAAGATTGGAGCGGGAGCGTCAACAGAAGTTACAGGAGGAAGAAATGATAAGGCAGTTGAGGAAAGAGCTTGTTCCTAAAGCACAGCCAATGCCGTATTTTGATCGGCCATTCATCCCCAAAAAGTGAACACCTGCTCTGCAATGGCACTTGTATAGATGATATTTCAATTTCAATAACTCATTGCAATAATGATTCGACATTACCTGTTTAGTTTTCACTAGTTGAAAGTTGTCCATTTAAAAGTAACTAACATTTCTTTCTATTGTGCTTCTTTTAAGGTCATCAAAGACAATAACAATTCCGAAGGAGCCAAACTTTCATCTCCGGCCTGAAAGGTTATCATGGTGAGTTGCAGTTCGAGACTGACTGAACATACACTATAATCTGTGGCAATTAACTACCAATAAATTCATCTTTCACCATCGACAGCTGATTGGCATCAAATACATGTTGTGTTATATTGTTGTTCTCTATTCAAAGCATGCTCACCATGCTGGGTTATGTGAATGATGGCTGACAGTTACTATTGACAGCGATGCATGGTCACTGGAAAGCTGAAGACATGGCCCCGCAAGCAACGTGTATGTCGACTGCATGTATCAAGAGCCGCAGAGCATCGTCAACACGCATGATTTAGATGCTCCCCATTCTTTCAAGTGCCTAGCTTCTTAACGTCTCCATGTGCAACGAGACTCGGTCTTTGTAGCTTGGGTGGTCTCCAGCTTTTCTTCTGTGTACATGCGTTTATGCATATCGATAGCTCTGTGCTTCAGATGCATCCTCCACCTCCAGGGTTAAACCAGCTTGTTGTACGAGACACCGCAGATGGGAAATTCAAGGATGAATTTCTGTGGTCTTGTATTCCTAAGTTGATTGTCGAAAAACCCGAAATACCAATGTGTTGATATATATGTGGATTTTGGAAAAAAATCTCTATATTTTAGCTGTCGCTGAATTTTACTGTCAGTAGCGACCGAACTGAAAATAGTTTTGTGGCAAACTGAAGTGCGTATGGAATGAATATGGATCAAGCTTATCTGTATGCTAAAGGACACACCGGATCACTGAGAAACTGAGATGAGATAACAGTTATCACGCCGAAGTTAAAAATTAGTCAGAAAACTCTTCGATTACATCAACTATGTATGCGTATCATTTTGCAAAATGGTCATTTTACTAAGTTCTGAAACCAGGGAAATATGACTTCTGTCTCCGCGGGATTGAGATGAGATATGTACAACGAGATTTTTCCTTTTTTCTGTAAGACAGAGAAAGTCGCTTTAAACACGACGAAAAATACATTTTTTTTGAGACGACGAAAAATACATTTATTTTTTCTGGGTCAGATTCGGCCCAAACCAAGTCTCTGGGCTAGAATGCAAAATGCTTGTGCTGTGAACATTTCGGTGGCAACCCACGAAGACCCAGTAATCCCACGCCCAACCACTTTCTTTGAAACTACTGTAGCACATTCCCTCACCGACGTGTGGGTCCTCCGCAAGCTAAGCTACGGGCACCCAGCGCTTCTCCCCCACTTGGCAGGCTCCCTCCACGCCACTTCTCTATTTCTCCCCCCATCTCTTCCTCCTCCCCGATCCACCCGACCGCAACAAACCCTAGCACCGCCAGATCTCCACCTCCGCCGCCGCCGGAGAGGCCACCCAACAGATCTCCCCGATGGCGTTCCGCCGACTCCTCTCGGCCGCAGTGCGCCGCCGCTCCGCCGCGGCGGCCGCGGCGGTCGGGAACGCGCGCGAGGCCTCCACGGCCGTCGCCGCGGGCCTCGGCGCCATCGCCCCCGACGCGCCCGCCGTCCGCGCCCCGGTGATGGCGTACGACCGGATCGCCGACGCCGTCAACGCGCGCGTCCGCCGCCTCGAGCACCCGGACCCCCGCTTCCTCCGCTACGCCAGCCCCGTGCCCGTGCACGTCGACCACACCGCCATCCTCGAGGCGCCGGAGACCAGGGTCACCACGCTCGACAACGGCCTGCGCGTCGCCACCGAGTCCTCGCTCTCCTCGCGCACGGCCACCGTCGGCGTCTGGATCGACGCCGGGAGCAGGTACGAGACGGAGGAGGCGGCCGGGGTCGCCCATTTCGTGGAGCACATGCTGTTCAAGGGCACGGGGACGCGCAGCGCCGGGCAGCTCGAGCAGGAGATCGAGGACATGGGCGGCCACCTCAACGCCTACACCTCGCGGGAGCAGACCACCTACTACGCCAAGGTGCTCGACAAGGACGTGCCACGTGCGATGAGTGTTCTCGCCGACATTTTGCAGGACTCTAAGCTTGAAGACAACCGCATTGAACGCGAGCGCGGTGTGATTCTCCGAGAGATGGAGGAGGTTAGTTTCCTGATGCGTATATGTTTGCTTGAGTTTATCACTCCTTTCCACTGCAATAAGGATCTGTTTAGGTGATTTTACGTACAATTTCTTATGCTGCCTTAGATTGATTGCATCATGCCTTCTCTAGTGTTTCATTAATATGTATTTCTTGTTTATTCTGTTGTTTTTAACCAATCCATATAGAGCTCTGAGATAGAAAGAACTAATTTACGGAGACTTGATTTCTTAGTATTAGGAATTGTTATGAACTGCTATATGTAAGAAGACAGATGTAAAATGGGATTTGCTATCAAACTGTTTGGAACCAATACAGATATCAATTTAAGAAAAAAGAACATGTATCGGGTGCTTGTGTTTTCTCGAACTTACATTCGCCAAATAGGTCCTTGCAGAAAATAAGAACTGATCAAAGGCCTAATTTCTTAGTACGAGGCGTTCTAGTTGTATCAAGCTGCCGCAGACTTAGATCATAGATGGGAATGCAAAATTGGCATTTGATATCAAACTGTCCCAAATCAAACTGGTTAACAGTTCGGAGCAAAAATGAATAAAAAATGAATATTGTATGCCCGTGAAAAAAATCTTTTGAATTTGCTGAGAATATTATTCAAGTAGAGTAGAATGTTGCACGGCCATAATGAGTTTAAATGGACCAACCTGCAAGGTTCATCATGCATCCAACAGCTAAACGCTCTTATATTTCTTTACAGAGGGAGTACCTAATATGGATGCAAATAACTTAACTCAATCCTTGGGTTTTATGAGCATACAAGTTTCATGTTCTGCTCTATTATTTACAGACTTCATTTTTGGTTCAGTAAGTTGTTGTTAGTCGCGTCAGGCTGCAACCCGGACGTGCAACATTTCTGAGATGCTACTAATATTTATGTCTTGCTGTGCTTTCTTGAGCCCACATTTTTTTCTGACTCTCCTATGTTATGTAGGTTCAGGGACAGTCGGAGGAAGTTATATTTGATCATCTCCATGCAACTGCATTCCAGTATACTTCTCTTGGCAGGCCAATCTTGGGTTCTGCTGATAACGTCAAGTCTATCACCAAAAAGAATCTCATAGACTACATTCAAAAGCATTACACGGCTTCTAGAATGGTACTTGAGATTAAAAATATGTGTCTAATACATTTGGATACTATCATTTTGTCGTATTGCTATTACCTCAACAGGGTGGAGTATCTCCTAGTCGTAAATAACATGTGTTTTGTGTGTTTTCAGGTCATTACTGCTGCTGGTGCTGTTAAGCATGATGATATTGTACAGCAGGCAAAAGAGCTGTTCAAATCGCTGCCAACTGACCCTACAACAACTAACATGTTGGTTGCTGAACAGCCAGCCATTTTTACTGGTTCTGAGGTATGTATTTTACTGTAAGTTTACCTGTGCTGTTCAAATCATTGATTATTTTATGCTACTCAATAGGTACGAATCATTGATGATGACATGCCCCTGGCCCAATTTGCTGTTGCCTTCAATGGAGCATCCTGGACAGATCCTGATTCTATTGCATTAATGGTTATGCAAACTATGCTTGGTTCGTGGAACAAGAGTGCTGGAGGAGGGAAGCACATGGGGTGGGTTCCTTCCCTATTATACACCCTTTCATCTTGTTGTCATTTCCTTGTGTATAACCAAGTCCCTTCGTCGAAGTGACTTGAAAACAATCCACTGATCATAGTTCACTTTGTTGTCCTTATTTTTTGATATAGTTCGGAGCTTGTACAGAGAGTAGCAATCAATGAAATAGCTGAGAGTATAATGGCATTCAATACAAACTACAAGGACACTGGCCTGTTTGGTGTCTATGCTGTCGCTAAGGTCAGTCGTATTTTTTTTTTCTTTTGTATCAAAGGTTGAAGAAAGTACTTCTTTCTGTATGTTATGTAGGCTGATTGCTTGGATGTAGGCTGATTGCTTGGATGTGTATCAGCCATTATGTGTGAACATGTTCTGGTGGTATAAAATGGTGTGTTGTTCATGTATTTTGCCTGATGATGTTCCTTGGCCTTGTTTTGTAGGCTGATTGCTTGGATGATTTGGCTTTTGCAATTATGCAAGAGATGAGCAAATTATCATACAGGGTTACCGAAGAGGATGTTATTCGTGCACGCAATCAGGTATTTCTTTCAATGAGGGTGGTATTTCTTTCAATGCCAGTTCAATGTGTAGTGGTGTTTCCTATGGATTATTGACGCTGAATAGTATGAAGCATATTTTTTCTTGTGTACTTGTTAGGAATCATGGTTCTGATATTCTGTTGCTCGATAATTGTTGGCTTTTGCACTGGAACATATGTATCTGCCATTGAACTTCTGTCTATCTTTCTGACATTGTCATTGCTTTGACTTGATACTTTCAGCTGAAATCCTCCATCCAACTCCACCTTGATGGCTCCACTGCTGTTGTTGAGGATATTGGACGCCAGGTATATGGACGCTATTATGTAATGTCACATGATATTCCAATACGCATCCTCTGGAACTTATCTTTCTTCTTCTGTGTTGTCAGCAACTCATCTATGGCCGTAGAATTCCTATTCCTGAGCTTTTTGCGAGAATAGATGCAGTTGATCCGAGCACTATCAGGCGTGTTGCAAACCGCTTCATCTTTGACCAGGTAATTATTGTTTTGCCAACTTGCCTTGTTCTATGTAGAATTTTGGATATCCCATGGCGTCGGGTAATGCCAGAAAGTGTGGTCGAAAACTAAAAGTTGCTAAAGTTTTGGTCACTTGCTCATAGATTACATCCCGCTTATGAGGTGCCTGCCAATTGCTACTGATAGACCTCTAATGATAAGAGTATTGTTTCCTTTTATTGGAATATGAATAAGAAGGTCCACTGATATCTGGGTGATATGCTTTTGTTTTGTTGTGAATAATGTAGCTTGCTGTATTAACTTATGAAGTTTTAGTGTGCATTTACCTTTTAGTTGTGGCATTGGTATCTCGAGGAAAATTTAGTTGGAACAGTAGCCTAACTTGATATTATGATAAGACTGCATTCTGTATATATTTTTTGTTGCCTGAATAGATGAGCCATATGGGAAATATTACTGTTATACTGTATGATACATAATTACTCCCTCCGTTCCTAAATAATTGTCTTTCTAGCTATCTCAAATGAACTACAACATACGGATGTATGTAGACATGTTTTAGAGTGTAGATTCACTCATTTTGCTCCGTATGTAGTCATTTGTTGAAATCTCTAGAAAGACAATTATTTAGGAACGGAGGGAGTATTAAGCTTGCATGAAGTTCAAAAGTCTTGGAGATACATATATATTCACTGTCTGAATGCCGTTTTTTCTTTCAGGATATTGCCATCGCTGCCATGGGACCAATTAAGTCTCTTCCAGACTACAACTGGTTCAGACGCAGGACCTACATGCTCCGTTACTAGATGATTCGACCAGCGGTGTACCATGTTTACAGTCTGCAAAGGCAAGATGATTGCTTGTTTTGGCATCAGTATATTAAGGCCACATCCACGCACATATTATGTGCCGAAGTGGAGGAATTTTTTGAGTCTTCGTTTTCCTTGCCCTTCTCTTCCTTTTGCAAACCCACAAAGCTGTCAATAATGGTAGGCAAATTCGACTGACGTGGCTTACTTGGGTGGCCGTCCGTTGTTTTACGATGATGATGAATCGTCATGATACTTTTCCATCTTGTGTTCCGATATTGTTGTCTTTCGGCCAATAATTTTAATGAAGCTGCTTATGTAAAGTAAGATGGTGGCTGTTAGCTTCGATATGATCTTTTGGGAATTTTGCATCGTTGTAATTGTTGTGATGAGTTGTCTCTGTTTGCGTTGCACATTTCGTCATCACGTGTTAACTGGGGACAAATGGCCGATCATACGAGGGAACCACCTTGTGTTGTGCGTTGTTTGTATTGCTCGATCCTGACCGAGTAGGCTATTTTGCAGTCCGCCTTGATGTTGTCAGCTGTTGCTTCGTGGCGTGCGGGACCATAACATGCTTTGTCTATCGCTTAGAGGCGTGTGGTTGGCTGTATCATCCTATTGGGTGCAAGAAACTCGTTTCGTATCGTATGCGGAGGCCTGACTTGTGTGCGCATGAACCTTAATGCGGAGGCCTGGCGTAGTTGAGCGTAAAAGTGGGCACGACGCAGGAAGGACTGAGCGTGGAGATGGCTGGACACTGAACTCTAGCATCACCCCCTCCCTCATTTATTCGCCCACCACTATGCTACGACAAACTCAACACCACTTCTCAGCATCAGGGGCGGCGACTTAGATCTGCAGAAGCAGCGGCACCGATAACTTCCTCCATGGGCACGATGTAAGCGGCGGTGCAGAAAGGAATGAGCGCGGAGATGGCGGGACACTCAACTCCGGCATCACCCCCTTCTTATTTACTCGCCCACCTCTATGCTCTTCCCTATATGAAGCCATTTGCCCTAGAAAAAATAAAAAGAAAACTTTCAGGACCTTTTGCCACCGTCTCGAGGCGGAAACACCGGCGGAGCACTTTTGCTCTCCGGCAGAGCAATTCTGCCGCAGAAACTTTCCTCTGGGAGGGGAAAATCGAAGCCATCATCATCACCAATGCTCCTCTCATCGTGGGAGGCATCATCTTCATCAACATCTTCACTAGCACCAACTCATCTATAAACCCTAGTTCATCTCTTGTGTTCAACCTTTGTATCAAACCTCAGATTGGTACCTCGGGCTGCTAGCAGTGTTGATTACATCTTGTAGTTGACGCTAGTTGGTTTACTTGGTAGAAGATCATTATGTTCAGATTGTTGATTGCATATTTATACCCACCGAACATGTTCAATATGATGAATTGTGAGTAGTTCTATTTGTTCTTGAGGACATGAGAGAAGTCTTGTTATTAGTAATCATGTGAAGTTGATCAGGGTCCAAAAAAACTATGTGAAGTTGATCATCGTTCAACGTTTCGATATTATATTGTGTTGTTCTTCCTCTAGTGGTGTTATGTGAATGTCGATTACATGACACTTCAACATCTTTGTGCCTAGGGGAAAGCATTATGGAATTAGTTTGTAGATGATAGGTTGCGGGAGTGACAGAAGCCTAAATCCGAGTTTACAAATTGTTCCATGAGGGGTTGTTTTGGATCTACATGTTTAATGCTATGATTAGATTTATCTTAATTACTTCTCTTGTATTTGTGATGCTTGCATGAAAGGTGTAATCATAAGTAGGTGTTTGTTCAAGTAAGAACATTACCTTAGCTTTGGTCCACCCACGTAACACTTATCAAGGCAATGAACGCGAAGTCGATGAATCCTGGTAAAAGTAACACGACGATATTCCCGTGTGTCCTCAAGAGCGTTTTAATCACTATAAGAAGTATCACCAGCTTGTCCTTAGAATAATTAAGGATTGGGGCACTTGATGCAACTTTCTACTTTTGTTACTTGTTACTTGTTATCAATTATCCTGCTAGCGAACTATCTATCAAAACTATCTTACAGCACCTGCAGAGAAAACCTTGCTGAAAACCGCCTATCAATTCCTTCTGCTCCTCGTTGGGTTCGACACTCTTACTTATGGAAAGTACTATGATTGATCCCCTATACTTGTGGGCCATCCTCCTGCTAAGGGCGTAGGCTTCAGGGGCGCAATATATGCCATTGCTGATGCTTCCAAGACGGTGCCATTCTCAAGTCCAGCCGAGTCCTTCCGTCATCTTTGCTCCGAACATCGGGGGAAACCCTAGGTCCCACTGCTATGCTAGAGAGTGGCGATGCCGTGTCATCGTCTTCTCGTTGGATGTGTTGCCTAGGTTGCTTGTGGAGTCCCATAGATGTGAGTTAGAAATGGTGTTGGCTGCCTACTAAGGTTTAACGCCCAGGATGCGGCTATATCTCCCACGTGTCGGGGCATGACTTAGAGGCATAACCGCATTTTGGTATTGTCGCAAGAAGGGTCATCTTCACACAATCCCATGTACAAGAACAAGGAAAATAAATAGTTGGCTTACAATCGCCACGTCACACAATGATCAAATTATTCATACATCATTCAGAGTATACACAAAGTCCGACTACAGACGAATCCAAATGAAAAGAAGATAACCCCAAATGCTAAATCCCGATCGTCCCAACTGGGCACCACTACTGATCATCCGGAAAGGAAACATAGTAACGACCAAGGTCTTCGTTGAACTCCCACTTGAGTTCGGTGGCATCACCTGCACTGGTATCATCGGCACCTGCAACTGTTTTGGTAGTATCTGTGAGTCACGAGGACTCAGCAATCTCAAAACCCGCGAGATCAAGACTATTTAAGCTTATAGGTAGGATGTGGTTATGAGGTGGAGTTGCAGCAAGCGCTAAGCAAATATGGTGGCTAACATACAAGTACAACATTGATGTCTACTACACAACCTTCTTCTTGTAGACGTTGTTGGGCCTCCAAGTGCAGAGGTTTGTAGGACAGTAGCAAATTTCCCTCAAGTGGATGACCTAAGGTTTATCAATCTGTAGGAGGCGTAGGATGAAGATGGTCTCTCTCAAGCAACCCTGCAACCAAATAACAAAGAGTCTCTTGTGTCCCCAACACACCCAATACAATGGTAAATTATATAGGTGCACTAGTTCAGTGAAGAGATGGTGATACAAGTGGTATATGGATAGTAGATAAAGGTATTTGTAATCTGAAATATAAAAACAGCAAGGTAACAAGTGATAAAAGTGAGCATAAAAGGTATCGCAATGATAGGAAATAAGGCCTAGGGTTCATACTTTCACTACTGCAAGTCCTCTCAACAATAATATCATAATTGGATCACATAACTATCCCTCAACATGCAACAAAGGTCACTCCAAAGTCACTAATAGCGGAGAACAAACGAAGAGATTATGGTAGGGTACGAAACCACCTCAAAGTTATTCTTTCCAATCAATCTGTTGGGCTATTCCTATAAGTGTCACAAACAGCCCTAGAGTTCGTACTAGAATAACACCTTAAGACACAAATCAACCAAAACCCTAATGTCACCTAGATACTCCAATGTCACCTCAAGTATCCATGGGTATGATTATACGATATGCATCACACAATCTCAGATCCATCTATTCAACCAACACATAGAACCTCAAAGAGTGCCCCAAAGTTTCTATCGGAGAATTACGACGAAAACGTGTGCCAACCCCTATGCATAGGTTCATGGGCGGAACCCGCAAGTTGATCACCAAAACATACATCAAGTGAATCACGTGGTATCCCATTGTCACCACAGATACGCACGACAAGACATACATCAAGTGTTCTTAAATCTTTAAAGACTCAATCCGATAAGATTACTTCAAAGGGGAAACTCAATTCATTACAAGAGAGAAGAGGGGGGAGGGAGAAACATAAGATCCAACTATAATAGCAAAGCTCGCGATACATCAAGATCGTATCACCTCAAGAACACGAGAGAGAGAGAGAGAGATCAAACACATAGCTACTGGTACATACCCTCAGCCCCGAGGGAAAACTACTCCCTCCTCGTCATGGAGAGCGCCGGGATGATGAAGATGGCCACCGGAGAAGGATTGCCCTCTCTGGCAGGGTGCCGGAACGGGTCTAGATTGGTTTTCGGTGGCTACGGAGGCTTCTGGCGGCGGAACTCCCGATCTATTCTCTGTTCTGGAAGTTTTAGGATACGTAGGTATATATGGGTGAAAGAAGTACGTCGGTGGACCGAAGGGGGGGACCACGAGGCAGGGGGGCGCGCCCTAGGGGGTGGGCGCGCCCCCCACCCTCGTGGGCACCTCCCTTCTTTCCTGACGTGCACTCCAAGCTTTTTCGGTAGCTTTCCTTTCAAAAATAACTTCTCCAGTTGATTTCGTTCCGATTCGACTCCGTTTGATATTCCTTTTCTTCGAAACACTGAAATAGGCAAAAAAACAGCAATTCTGGGCTGGGCCTCCGGTTAATAGGTTAGTCCCAAAAATAATATAAAAGTGGATAATAGAGCCCAATATTGTTCAAAACAGTAGATAACATAGCATGGAGCAATCAAAAATTATAGATACGTTGGAGACGTATCAAAGAGTAAGATGAGAAACTACGCAACGGACGCAAAATTAGAAGTGATCCTGAACTAGTTACGTTCAAACATAACCCAACTATGTTCACTTCCCGAACCTCGTCGAAAAGAGACCATCACGGTTACACACGCGGTTGGTGTATTTCAATTAAGTCAAGTGTGAAGTTCTCTATAATCAGATATTAATAAATTCCCATCTACCACATAACTGCGGGCACGGCTCTCGAAAGTTTATACCCTGCAGGGGTGTCCCAACTTAGCCCATCACAAGCTCTCACGATCAACGAAGGATATTCCTTCTCCCGGAATAACCCGATCAGTCTCGGAATCCCGGTTACAAGACATTTCGACAATGGTAAAACAA